AAGCACACTGTTTCAGATAGAAGTCCTAGGACTGCAGCCTTTATCCCAGCAGAACTAGATCAAACAAATCAATGATGTCGTTCAAAATGACCTTCACTGTGAGGCAGATAAAATGTTCGTACAATGCATACAATGCATAAAATGTTCATACAATGCTCTTTCCATCCGAAATAGTTATTTATCTAGAACAGATATGTTCCACTATAAACATACATTAAAAGTTTTCCACACTATGATCTTTTTGTGCAGCTAAAAGAAAAGCGAAACAAGGATTGCACACAGCAAATACAACTCCACTGGTCTGGTAAGATCCTACTACCTTTACTCAGAAGTCAGTCCCTTTCACCAAAGCTTCCCCTTCTCCCTTCATTTCTTTCATTCCTTGGTTTTCAGTCTCATTAATTAGTTACTATACTTGCCTTCTATATTTTTGCATGTATATTTTAGCTTGGTTTTAATGACAGTGGCCAAAAATACCAGGTGCCATCAGGAGGTCCAGCAGTGGGGCCAGGACACTAGAAGCCCTCCCACTGTTGCCCCCCCAAGCACTGAGAATACAGAGCATCACTTGCCCCAGCCTGAGAGTTCCTACCTATACCTTGTGGCTAAAAGCCACTGATGGACTTCCACTCCATATGCTTTTCTAATTCCCTCTTGAAGCTAGGGCTGAAATCAGACTCAATTTTCCTCAGCATCCAGTTCAGAAGTCTTTCTCTGCTCAGCTGATGCTAACTCATCAGATCTCTTGGAGCAGCCTGACACTTAAGGGTCTCTGTGAAGAATTAACCCTTCATAGTCCTTCATCTGTTTACAGAGCACTTCTAAACTTTTTAAAAGTGTAGTCCATCACAATCACATGGGATCAATTTTGTAAAAAACAAAATTAAAAATATGTACCTTCTACAGGCTTGTCAGCAATTGCCTCTTTATCTTCATTGTCTTCTGGCTTTGTGACTACCATGGATGTCAGAGGAGTCACGAATTTATATTTCAGAGACATCTCCAGGGCTTCAGCAGTAAGATTTGACTTTTCATATCCCGTTGCTGTAGTACTAGATGAAAGAATAATACCAAATAAAATTATTTGCTACAAGGTGCTGTTGTAGCCAATGGCCCAGACAGTGAAACAGGATTAGACTTTGAACTGGAGCTTAATGCCAGGGATTCCAAGGGGAAGCAAGGGAAGGGTAACAGCCTTTTCTCACCCCAGAATATCACTGGGATTGAACTGTGATGCTTTCCCTGTTCATGAAACTATATATTTTTAAAAATGTTTATAGGATTGTATACTCTCAGGAAGGAATGGGGAGTATACAGGTGCTGGATGATGGTTGCCACATAACAGCCGTTTACTCCATATATGAGCAATCTTGCATTGAGCTGTAAAGGAGAGAAGATAAACATTTTAAAAATTGGTTTTGTGTGCTTGTGAGGAGCATGGTGAAGATACAGTGTGATATTGCTGGACATCAGGTAGTAACAGACACTATCCTCCTATCCTCCTTCTGGAACCTGGGCAACTGTATTCTGTATGGGAAACAAATGAGCAACAAGGGTGCTAAACTGGTGGGTGGCAGGCACTGCATATTACCAGCAATAATATTCTGTGGCTGAAGCAGAGGACAGTTGTATGTTGCAAAATAAGTACTATGCAGAAATTCTACAGTTCTGGATCTCAAGTGACAAATGAGTGTGAATGAATTGTTTACTATTGTATCTCTGGAAGGCCCTTAGTTACCGTTTTTCCAGAAGCTGATTAATAGTGAGATAAGCCCAGAGCTTCTCAATATAGTCCTCAAAAATGTACTTCTGGTCTTCGAGAGCTTTAGCTGTTTCTTCAATATCTGCTTGCTCAGAGAAAGTCAGATCATCAAATGCCTGTTAGGAAGAAAATAATTTCTCTTTTTAAACAAAACACTTGTCCACCATATCAGAACATAAGACACGGGCAAATTGCAGTGCGAGGTCTGTTTTAATAGCTCTGCACTATTTCAGTAACAGAGAGAGCACTTTATAGAGCAGAACTGCCTATGATGAATAGAATCCCAGTGTGGATTTGACAGTTTGGCACATGGGAGACATAATTATAGCATTGCAAGACCCAAGATTTTGTACTATTGTACACAACCTATTTAGCTCTGTGAAATACAGAAAGGGCACGACTCAGCATGGACTGAATCTTGCGGGGCTGGGAGGGGGAGGGAGAGCTAGCTGGATGCTGGGTGGGGCATGTGACTGAGTGGCAGGAAAATTGGGCCTTCCCCCTCCCCCCTGGGACCAATGGCAAGGTGTCGGAGCAGCCAGGGGGAGGGCGGTTGCCGGGGGAATAAACCAGCCACTTGCCTCCCGCCCCTCATCCTTTGTCCGGCCACTGAATGGCTTGCAGGCTACAGTTTCCGGTTATGGGGGGGGAGCCTTGTGGCCAGGTGGAGTAGTGATGGAGGGATTTTCATGAATTCCCACTCTCCCTTCCTGGCCCCTATCATGAGACGCGATCCCCTTAGCCTGGGAATGCTGCGCGTTTTCCACAGCTGTAAGGGGGGCTCGCATAGCTGGTGCTCCCCCAATATTCATCCCAACACAGCCTGGCAAAGGAGCGGCCTGCTGCCGTGGCCCCAGAAAAATATTTTGGGCACAGCTTAAAGGGCCGGCAGCAGAAGAGCGACAGGAGGTACACTGTCACCTTCCCCCTTCTTTTTCCCCAACCAGAGTCCACTGGCCTCCAGGGTCGGTGCAGGCAGGCTGAGCTGAGTTGGGGGGATGTTGCCATGGCAGCATGCTACCACTGCCCTGCCAGTTCTGCTGGTTCCCCAGGTTCCAGGGCTATATGGGCGTGGCACATCCATGTGGGGTAGCCAGAGGAGAGCCTCCAGGTGCGCCGAGACCCTGCCACCCAGCTGGACTGGGAGAGGATTAGTGGCTGCAGCACCACCACTGTGAGGGGCGTGCCTCCCCACCCAGCCACCATGCTGCCCACTTGGGCTCAGTGCATGAACACAACCTGCCGCTCAGGGAAGCCTTTGGGCCATGGCAACGCGGCCGCAGGAGGCACGCCTCTCTGTCTAGCTACCAGCTGCCAATTCGGACTTGGTGCTCCACTGCAGCCCTGCCGTCCAGGAGGGAATGGGGGTGTTCACAGCTGCAGCACCACCATGGTGGGGGTGTGCCTTTTCACCCAGCCACTTGGCTGCCCTTTGGCCTCAGTGTGCCAGCATGGTCCTGCTGCCCAGGCGAGGCCTGGGGCATTTGCTGCCATGGCGCCACCTTGAGATGTGTGCCTTTCCGCCCAGCTGCTTGTCTATCCCTCTGGGCTTGGCGCGCTGATGCAACCCTGCTGCCCCGCTGGGCCAGAGGGGTGCACAGCTTTGGCCACACCGCCACTGCCACTCAGTGGATTCTGCCTCACAGGTTCACCCCTGGGGCCCTTGTACTGGGGCCTGGGGATAAGTGAACTCCAGATTACCTTGGGGGGGGGTGCTCCACAGCTTCATGTGGTGCCTGGCAGGGCCAGGTGAGGGGAGGCCAGCAACCTGTTATTGAACTAGCTGTGCAGGGCTCATCCTTCAGCCCTCCTCCCCCTACAGCTTCTTAAAAGGGTGCCCTGCCTGGGGCAATTGCTCCAGCTCGGGGGCCCATAGTCCAATGCAGCATGAGGCCTCAATGGGAGCCATCAGCATGGAATGGTGGACAGTAGGTAGGTGGGTAGGTAGGTAGGTAGGTAGGTAGTTGGCTTTCAGTTAGTTTGTAGTCAGGTTGGGTCACATCATCCACCTCTCACCAACGCTTGACAGCCTAGTAATAGGACCAAGGGCCTCTGATTGCAGAAGGGGGTTGGGGTGTGGGGGTCTTCACACCCCTCTTAGTCTCTCCTGAGTAGGCATGAAACTGCCCAACTGAAGCACACGGCAGGCGGGAGAGTGGCGGCCTGTTGTTGACATGCAGACGAGAGGCCAGTTGACTAGTGAGGCAGTGGGACCGGCAGTCGTTGGGACAGCATGCTCAGCAGAATGGAAAGCCACTGCAAAAGACCAAAATGGGGAGGTAGATGTGGTGGAGCTGGCCAGCACAGTGCAAGCGTTTGAGCAGCTTATGGAGAAGGTTGACCAACTGGGCAGGGGCCAGCAAGCCAAGCAAGCACGGAAAGCGGATCCTGTCAGGGCCCCTTCTCGTAAGGGCAGGAGGCTCATCGGTCATCAGAGGGTGACAGTGTCCAGTGGCACCGAGGCTTGTTGACTCCCCACTTGGGGAGCATCAGCTGCTCAGCTGATCAGAGGAGCTTGTGCTCAAGGACCCACCCTAAAGCCAAGGGGTGAGGGAGGGGTAGTGAAGGCCCATCAACAAGCTCACGTGAGGACACTGAGAGTGAGGGCTCCTCAGATGAGTCTTCCTCAGATGAGGAAGGCGGGTGTCCCCCAGGTGGTTAATGGTTCTCCACAACACAGGAGCCTGGGCAGCCAGCCTGGGCCATACATCGCAGGGCACTGGTTGCCCAGGTCACTGGAGACCCCAGGGTGGTATGGGATAATGTGGACACCTCTGACCCATCAGCTATTTTGTCCATCTACGCAAATGGTGATGACTCCACCTATCTGAGAAGGTTAGGGACAGTATCCTGGATGGGTATTATGTCAATGTATTTACTTTACTGAAGCTGAAAGGGGAAAAGGGTCACACTCTGCACTCTAAAAAGAAGGAAAGGAGATGCAAGAGTCAAGAGGAGGTGGAGCACACCTTCCTCAACTGGACAGGAGGTTATCTGGTACACAGGGGTGGTGGCTGCTGCATACCCTGACACTCTTGTGACGGTAAAAGCATGGGGCCGGATCCGTTTATGGAAGTTGGCCTGTGTGCCATTTTCTGGGATATGGAGGCCCCCTAAAAGGGTCTTGGCATGAAGGCAGGTGGGAGCAAGCCTGCTCGTGGACTACCAGCAATTGCCCTCATGACCAGATGGCAGAGGAGACTACTAAGAGGCAGTTGTCTGTGTGAGCTCTAGCAACCTGCCATCCCATGGTTCAGCACCCATGAAGTCTGGCTGGGTGGTGGGTACATCAGCTGGCATGGGGCCAGCTGGTGCAAGGGATCTGGTGGACCCATGCTGCACCAATGCTTCTTACAGCTGTAGTCAATAAAGTTGTGGCCAATTTACTCCACATATTTTCCGAATATGTTGTGTGTGTTATTCTTTCATAGTGGGTTGCGTACAGACAGCGGAACCTCACCTCCCCCATGAGAGCTGGAGCTCACAAAAACTCAACGGGAGAACTGTTTATACAAACACAAGAGAGTATGTGCAAATTGTAATCCATTTTTTACTACATTATCTTTAAAAGCCTTCAAATAGACCTTGTAAACCGACTCCATTTTGCAGTGTGGCGTTTATTATTTATCCATTAAAACGTTGATATCCCTCCTTCCCTCGTGGCTCAAGGTGTCTTACAATCCTCAATTATAACATTACAATTTAAAATCTGCAAAATAAAATCTCATATAACACCCCCCCCCCGAAAGATGCCTGCTGTTTTAAAAGCCAGGCAAGCACAAGATTCTAAAGATGTCACACACATACCCCACTTCCTTGGGAAGCCTGGTCCACAAAGTGGGAGCTACAATAGAAACGGCACAGGCTCTGGTTGAAGCCAGGCACGCTACCTTAAGGGGGCAGTAGGTGACATCCTGAGGACCATAGGCATAGCTGACCTGCAGGGACATAGAGGAATAGTTAGTTCTTTATCTGTGTCCGTCCTAGGCCATTAAGGGCTTTAAAGGTCGCAATCAGCACCCTGAATTTGACTTGAAACAAACCGGAAGCCAATGTAACAGTTTGAACCATTTTTGTAATAGTTTTAAGATGGGCAAGATATGTTCCCATCAGCTAGTTTCTGACAGTAACTAGGCTGCTACAGTTTCTGAGTTGTCCAGCAGCCCAACAGAGAGCACATCACAGGAATCCAACTGTAAAGATACAGAAACATCAGCATGGCCAGATCGCTTGAGCATAAGGAAGGATTTATTAACTCTCTCAGTCACTTTTTTGTTAGCCAATTGAAAAAGAAGTTCAGATTATATATATTACAGGGTGTTTCGGTTGGGGTTTTTTTAGTTTCAATAGAGTATTCACTCTTAGAATACTGTTGATCTGAAGCATAGGGTATATTTAGGAACGTGATCTGAATAAATGTAAATGTTAACATATCTATCCTTTTGCTTTCATTGTAAGTATGAAGGAGCCTACCTGAACAGGGGTTTCAGGAACAGAACCTACCTCTGCATCTTCTGAATTGTCAAAAGTATCAGGTAGGTCACAATGACCTTTGAAAGGGTAAATGACATATTCTGTAGTCCAACTGAATTCTCAGCCAAACTTTTAGAGTTACAATTCTTGAACTCAGCTTCAATATTTGTTTGTGTGGGATTTCTTTTTACACTGCAAACCACTCTTCAGATTCTTAAGATCACGAAAACACTTACCCCATGAGCTTTCACCTCTGTAGTAAAAAAGTTCAGGTCGTTGTCTATGATTCGTCCAGCTACAACAATTTCCGAGCCATCATAAAAGTGCTTAAAACTGTTTTGAGTCAAGTCAGAAATGGCATTTTCAGAGTACTCTAATGTCACTTCAGTAAGCAAGGGATTGGCCACTTCATCATAAAAACCCTAAGGGGGGGAAATGGATTAGATTAACTAATGTGTGATTCAAGGGACTATTTTCTGTTGAAGTCCTAAACCTTGGTGATGAAAAATTATTCTTACATCTACCACTATGTTAAAGTATCTTTGAGGAGAAAGGAAAACCACTGAGGTGGTTTCACCACCAGGCATGGCACAGTGGGTGTCAGCGGGTAGATTTTAGATGCTCTTTGGGGTGAAAGGGTAATGCACTCAGATACCAGGGGTACAAGGAACTTCTCCTACACAACTGCAACAAGTGAGGGATGCTTAAAAGCAACCCTTGTGCCTCAAGTTAAATCAGTGGGAAGGAGTGCTTTTTGGCTTCTGTGTCTCAGACACTGAAATCCTTGGGCTGGCTTTGTAGGTCCTTGTTTATCCTAGTCATCATTGTCTGAGCCTCTCTGAAACAATTCTGCAGGACAGTGGTCACCTCAGTGTAGAGAAAAGTGGGGTATAGAAACCAACTCTCCTCCTCCTCCGAAGTCCAGGGAGAACAGAGTTTTTTCTCAGGCCAGAATGTTTTTATCATGGAAATCTTTAATTTGCAATCTTTGCACAGTGAAGATTTGCAGAGAAGCAACTTTGCTGGCTTACCTAAACGAAAGCTTTTTCCTGCAGACATGCTGAAGGGGATTCGACCCATTGTGTAAAAATAATAGAGATGAACCTTTCATGTTGCTATTTATTTATATTAATTCATATAAATATTTTTATTCCACATTTTCTATTCAACCCAAGGTGGCTTAGAAACATAACTACCAGGCCAACCAATGAGCGTTAAAATGTAAAAAAAAAGTTAGAGCCATAAATTAAAAAAAAGAAACCAGTTCCTATTTTGCATACTGAAGAAAAACTACTTTGTTTCTAGTTTAGGACATAAAACCTATAGACTTCCAGAAAAAGCTTATTGAACACTTACAAATCCTACAGAAAGTTATCAGTGTTGGTGCCCCCTCTACTGCCTTGGGAAGAGTGTTCCATAATTCAGGGGCAGCAATTGCAAAAGTCCAGGAATGGAATTGAGGTGAAATGGGCCACTCATAGGCTTGCCAAGTCCCCCCGGGGGCAGGGAAAACCCCACCCCAGAGGCCTGTTCCCCGCCGCTGGTGGATCAGGCCCCGGGGGGAACCCCACCATGCCGGGCATGCTGGGGGCGGGGCCACAGTCATCCGAGGGAAAACTCGGCGAAAAACACACTTGGCAACCCTAGCCACTCAAGGGGCAGGGGTGGTGGTGCGAGAAAAAGAACTCCTGCAAAGTATGTAACTAACATGTGAACTGATACAAGAACAGGCAGTCTTTTCAGATATGTAGGTTGCAATCACAGTGCTTTAAAGGTCAAAAGCAGCCCCTTGAATGGAACCCATAAACAAGTAAACAGTGCAGCTTCTTTAACTAGAGCTAATATGCACAAAGAGCATCTTGTAAGAGGGTGCACAGCCCCCTTCTACACTAGTTGAAGCTTCTGTGTTGTCTTCAAGGGCAGTCTCAGCTGCACTGTGTTGTTGTAATCTAGACTAGAGGTTATGGAAGTACAAATCAGCATGTTCAGACCAGCAGAATCTAGAAGGAAGGGTAATTTATAAATCCAGTGTAAAACAAAGAAAGTACTCTCTGCAACACTCCCAACTTGTTTTTCTATCAATATGTTCCATCCAAGAGAATCTCAAATTCTTTACATGGTCTCCTGATGATAATCTCAATCCATCCAGAAATGGTAAATCATGACACACCAGGGAATGGATCCAGTGATTTGTCAGCAGAAGGCATTGATAGTCAAGAATCTTTCCCACATTCCTCTCCCGTCAGCAGTCCTTGACACTGGGAAAGTTTGTTCCCCTGTGGATTAATAGTTATGTGGGTCAAGAGGCTGCAGTGGGGAAGGGGACAAAATTGCAGCTGTGTTGACAGGAAATGAAAAATAGGGTGATTTTTCTTCCCCTTAAGGGTCCCATAACAGCAGAAACAAACTTTCTGGGGGTCAGAAAGGACTGCTGAGGGAATACAGGAAAGATCCATGATCCTTGTGTCCATTGTTCACTGGATCCAACTCCAGAATATCAGTTTCTGTAGTGTATCATGTCGCAACCGCGTGGTCAGCTTGGGCGCCACGCAGTCAAGCACAAGCATTGAGCTCCAAATAACAATGGACAATACGGATCCTAGCCCGCACCAATTAGAGGGCTAGGCTCCGGGCCGAGGACCTATGGGACTCTCGGCCACTACTTAGGACCTATTGGGAAGTGGGGGGTGTTCTGGGTGGTGGATTCACGAGGATATAAGCCGGCCTGCGAGCCGGCTAAAGTTGTCTTGTTTTGTGCTAATAAAGTATGCTAAGCTGAAATCACTCTACCATCTGCATACTTTTCAGTTTCACTGACCAGCCCTGAATGATTCCAATTTAGTGGCATGACGTATAAACACTGAAAAGCATATGTGAGAGTCCTTAGCCTTGTAGGACTCAGATCTTGAACTGAAGATCAGCGTAATTACCAGAAGATCTTCTCCCATCACAAATGTTACCTTTGCAGCCAAAGGATGACTACTATAAACTCTACCGTGGCTGTGTGGGTCTTCTGTCAGTAGTGATAACTTAGTTGACCATGTTTTGGGCTTCTGGTGTCAGTTCATGAAGTTATACTTAAGAACAATACAATACAGATTCTGTACTTCAGAATCTGTACTTCAGAATCTGTATTTGAACACACAATGCTAATTTTAGATCCTATGATTCAATTTATTTTGCTTTCCAGTGCTCCTAGCAGTAGGAGAAAACAGTATCTTATGGTAACCCCAGTATCTCAAACACATTTTTGTGTATTTGTATTTGAACACACAATGCTAATTTTAGATCCTATGATTCAATTTATTTTGCTTTCCAGTGCTCCTAGCAGTAGGAGAAAACAGTATCTTATGGTAACCCCAGTATCTCAAATAATATCTTATAGCAACATCAAGCTGGAAATACCACCCAGTTACAAACTCTTAAATGTTTTACTTTCAATTATCTTGGGGGGAAAGAAATAGTTCATCACAAACACTGGAGTGAATAATACTTGTTACATAATTATGATTCTACCTGTAACTGTAAGGCTGAATCAGAGTCTTCATAGATGCGACGAGCCAATCCATTGTTTTCTTTTGCCAGCTTGTCTAAAAATGAGTAGTCAAGATCATAACCAAACCCAAGATTGTATAAGGGATATTTTCCTTGGATTTTTTCTTGAACATCATGATGAATTCTGGCTGTAGCTGCAAAGAAATACACAAAGTAATTATGCTCTTCACTTTACCAGAAATGGGGGGGGGGAGTCCCCAAATCATTAATTTTGCTGTTTTTAACAAGATACTTCCACTTTCAAAACAAACACCATAAACAAAGCATTTAACAATAAACAGGGGTCATGTCATAGAAAAAGAGGTGCAGGAGCTCATTAGCATACTTACAGTTTAAACTTTAAACCCCTTCTCGCTTTGCTTCCACACACACCCCCGACCACCTTGGCAGGCCAGCTGGGTAAGGGAAGGGGAGACTTTTGAAGATGCCTCCCCCCCTTTTTGCTTCCCCAGCCAGCCTGCCAAAGCAGGCTGGGGGGGAAGTGAAGAGAGAACTTTAAACCCCTTTTCTCTAGAGTCGCGCCACAAGGCCCCATAGAATACAAGGTGGACTGGCTGGAGACAGGAAGGGGAGGCGGGCAGACATGCCTGGCTTCCCTGTCCAATCTTTTCCAGGTGCCCTGCAGCGGCAGGGCACCTGGAGAAGATCAGGGTGGGAAGCCAGGCATTTAATTCCTCCCCTTGGGGGAGGGCTGGGCTCCTTACTGCCAGAGCGCCGCTCTGGGGCGCTCCAGCAGAAAATGACCCCTGACAGTAAAACTGAAAGGAGCTTTTTCAGACAACTATTCCAGACCACAATGGTGACTAGGTCTCTGTTATCTCCCCTATACAGAAGCAAAAGAAGGTATTTATTTACTTAAAGGGGGAAAAATCTATTTCTCTTCTCTTCTGTAGCTTCTGGGAATGGTAACAGCCCATCAAAATATTGATCAGTCTAACTAAAGCTCACCAGGACAAAATAATTCAATTAAATGAATTTAGAAACAGAAGTGAGAAGAAATACAGAGAGCTCCATCCTATAATGCCAGCAGAGCGTAAACATCAGTGTGCTGGCATCACTGGTAGTCAGCATCCTGCAGACATCCTGCAGTGGGGAAACACTCACCTTTGATGCAGGGAGGGCGTGGGTATAAATGAAATAAAATAAATAAATAAATACAATGGGCTGAATTTGATTGGACTTCCAGCAATTGGCACAGTGACCTCTGCTTCCATGCCATGTAGAATTGGTGAGCAATCAATCAGCACTCTGATTTAGGATGCCAAAGCACACTTCTATAAGGTACTTCCTGTTTTGGTTCTTCTTGATTTGCTGCTGTAGCTCTCAGGGAAACCAACATCCGGAAATACCCTATGGCACCACAGTAAGGTTTTTTTTTTAGCCTAACAAACTGTAGTACCTTGGAGTGGAGTATTATAAAGTGTTTTCCACAGCACAGCAATCTTAACACAAAGTTAAGGTCATTCCTTTGTTCAAACACTTACATCCATCAGGGTGACCATCTGTTAACATGATAATTAAGGAAGCACTTCTTGCAGGCACAGTGCCATTTTGGTGAGCTTTATTCAGCATCTCAATTGCAGTCATTAAACCACCATGAAGATTTGTTGCTGAAATACAGAAACAATGGTTCCTTATGTAATATTAGGCATGAGAAGGGACAAATACATGTTTGAACTGATTTACCTTTTGATCATTGTTGCATAGTACTTACATCCACTACAAGTAATTGTCTGGATAAATTGCTTTGCTTCATTCACATTCTCAGGAGTAGCTTTGACTAAAGTATCTTTCCATGTAGAAACTCTGCTTTCAAATGGTACCAGATTAAAGTGATCATCTGGATTTAAATCTTCAACTATTTTTATTAGTGCTTCCCTTGTCTAAAATAAAGGAAACTGATTAGAATTTATAAAATCTGGATACATGGGGGGGGGAGAAAGAAGCAAGTTCTACATTATGTAATACCACTTTAGTACATTTTACTGTGCTCCAAAGCCATTATGTGCTTGACTATGGAAAAAATACCCTAGAACTACAGAAGAAACGCAAGTAATCATACCTGATTTCCTAAACTGTGAACAGACTGTGGGGTCTGTGGGATCATATACTCCTTCCTCTCATTTTGTACATGAATTTCTTCATACATTTAGTATTTGGCACAAACCTTTTCATTAGCCATCAGAAAGTCAAACTACGCCTTTAAACCCAGCCTGCTTCCAAATGGAGGTTTTTCTCCATCTCATCTTCCAAATGGGATATTTTTTTTAGTTTCCAAATGATGTTGTTATGTAATTGTTATCCTGCCCCTGGGTAGCAGCAGCCTGTATCTGTTTACCCCCTGGCTGACATTTTGAAGCTAAACCAGTCCTCAAAAGTAACTCCTCCTGTATTCTGTTTCACTTGCAGATTGTATTCAGTTTCACTCAGGGCCTAACTAGCCATTACAGCAGCCATAGATCTGAACTGCGTCTGCCAACATCATTTAGAGAAAAATACGGCCATTTAAAAATTCCTCAAGGGCCATGTCGCAGCAGGACCAGGCAATTTTGTCCCTCCCTCCCCTGCATGCACCTTTACAAGTGTGGAAACAGCACCTCCATGGCTGTTTTAGCACTTGAAAAGAAGGGGGGGGGGGGGGGACGGGGGACATGGACAGACAATATCACCCTGTCCCAGTCAGGATCAAGCCCTCACAGCATTTTCACTGGCAGATTCTTCTCTAAAAAGGCATTAGTAGCCGTAAGTTGGACCCATGGCTGCCATGACATCTAATTCAGCCATGAAATACATACATAAATACATCACTAAAGAAAAATTCATTACACCACTCCAGAACTGAAGTTGAATAAAATTAGTTGTGATGAAGGACTTGAACCTGCTCAGTTGGAAAGTCTACTAAGTCTGCTCCTGAATAAGCTTCCCTGTGTGCTAAGTGAAAGGCATCCACACCTCTGGGGGAAGGGTTGCGGCTCAGAGGAAGAACCTCTGCTTTGCATGCAGAAGGTCCCAGTCTCAATCCCTGGCATCTCCAGTTAAAAGGACCAGGCAGTAGGCGATGTGAAAGACCTCTGCCTGAGGCCCTGGAGAACTGTTGCCAATCTGAGTAGATAGTATTGATCTTGATGGACCAATGCTCTGATTCAGTATAAGGCAGCTTCATGTGTCTTCATAATTCCTGATCATCCTCCAGGCATTGTAGAACGTTAGAATACAGATGTGGGGGGTTCTGATAGATAGCTCAGTTAGAAGATGCAGCCCTTCTCATTAGCATGGTAGCATTCCATCCATAGGGAATTTTTTCTCTAACAGAGAATTCACATAATCCATCCCCAGCTGCATTCTGAAGTGTTGCAGTCCCAGAAGGATTTTTCCACGTGATCTTTCTGAATGTATCTTTCTGAATGTATATTTACATAGAACAAATACAAAGTCTGGTCAACTTAGATGTCTGGTCAACTCAAGAAACAGGTTAACTTTCTAGAAAAGTCACTAGAGCTGGTTTCATAGTGTTCAGTTACCTGCTGAATTTTCCGTCCACACATGGAGCCACTATGGTCTATTACAAATACAACATTCTTAGGCAAACGTGTAAGATTTTTTGGTGCAAAAAAGTGTACAAAGTACCCATTGACAATCTGAAAAACAGAGATAACATTTTATTATTTGGACTCACTGATAGGCCACTGTAGCACAAGATTGTAAGCAGCTTACAACACTAAAATACCATAAGAGCATAACAATAATCGCAGCCAGCATTAACAACCAGTAATTGGTAATTTAACAATGTAATTCTTTACAAACAGCCCAGACCTCCATAATAACCATAATTTGCTATGGCCTCTGAAAAAGAACACAGACTTCCGGAATCTGTGGAGGAACGATGAACCTCTGAAAAGTTATTCAAAAGAATCAGTACTACCACAGAAAAAGTGGATGTTGTCTTGAAGAATTAAACCTGCCTGCAACAAAAAGAGCAGCTCCCTCTAAGAACTCAGCTGGTGCATGATCTTTTATTCGAAGAGGAGGTACAAATGCCATTATTATTATTATGCTTATCCATCAGCGTATCAATTAGAGTTAGCAAATAATTGGATTTACCTGTAAGTTATTTGGAGAATCTCTGTTCACATCATACTTTATGACAAAATCTCCTTGCAACAGAGAGGTTGTACAATTGCCACAGGTTCGTTGTTGATCAATGGTTGGACTGAATGAAACATGGCCCTTAAAGAATAAGAATTGATCACCTTAAATGAATACACCATGTTGATCATTCAGAAGATTTTATATTAATTTTGAAACCCAGGGGCTCCAGTGATTTCCCTTTCTCCCAAGCATTTAAATACATTGGTTTCTGGATGGAAATGTTATCATAACATGGGCTATGTTCCCAAACTGAATGTTATGTATCAAGAGCAGGAAACCAGGCAAGGGGAAGACTGAGCTGTTGCATGACAAGGAGTAAAAGGGTTAATTTGGGAAGACAGGAAGGGAGCAGAGACACTGAATACTTTCTTATGTGGAAAATGTGGGATGCATGTCAAGCTGGAGCCAGTTTTTGGGAATGGTATCTGAAGAAATGAGTCCAACTGAGGTGACAAACAGTGATAGACCAGCTCTGAAATTATAACAAAGGCTGCCCCACAATAGAGTGGAGGTTTGGGACTGGAATGATCCCCTGGTCACAAAATTGGAATCCATCCAAAATCTTTTTCTAAAGAGAATTTTAGCCTTGCCTCAAGGCACCCCAGCAGCTCTGATGTGGGCAGACCTTGGTTTGCCTTCAATTAAGGCCTGTGCACATGTTGTCATGCTTAGATTATGAAGAAACCAAGGGAATGACACTACCAGTGTTTCCTGCAGGCAATATTTCATGGTGATGTAGGAAGATACTACCTGGGTAGCTTGTTACAAAAATATTCTCCACTGCTACTCGATATCAGATGATACCCAAGATGTCCCTGTGGCTGGCACCAATATTCAGGACTGGGTTTTCAGGTATGATGTAGTTACAGATAGACAATCAAACTCGAGGTTCAAATGTTCACTCTGGTTTAAACTGACTAAAAATACTTTGTCAGAGCCTCCTTCTTGTTTAACATTACCCCTCAGAATAGCCTTTACATCTATTACGTTCCAGAATCCAGACCACGCCAAAAGCTTTGCTTGCTGCTCTCCAAAAAAAACCCATTTGCTTCATACTTTTGTGTATGTGCAACTGCAGTTCTGAGGAATTTATCCCATTATATTCTGTCTTGCCCTTTTTACACAGAGCCCAGGACCAAATTTCTTGCAGTGTTCCTGAAGGGCAAACTCTTCCTCAGAAACAGAAAACTTAATTTTCCTTCTCTCAGATACTGACTTACTCATTTCCTACAGAGTCTTGTTGCTTGCCTTGGCAGCCATGAAAATACAAGGGAAATCTGTATTTGAAGGGCAAAATGTTTTAACATCTACAAATACATATGGTTATTTTAATTATATTATTTATATTTTCTCTTTTAACATCTTGTGATCAATTGGCTACATGCAATAAATACTATTGTATCATATTGAAAAGGGGTTCAGACAAGATCCAAGAGATTAGCCTAATGTCTGTTTTGGTAAATTCAAAGAAAGTATAATTAAATACAGAATTATTTGGCACATAGAGGAGGAAAAGCCCACTGAGGGAAAATCTGTATCGCTTTTGCAAAGGAAGTTCTGCCTCACCATACTTGTGTAGTTCTTTGAGAAGTTAATAAGTATGTGGATAAGGGTGATCCAACAGACATTATATGCTTGGACTTCCAAAAGGCTTTTGACAAGGTACCTCATCAAAAACTCATGAGTAAATGTAGCAGTCATAGGATAAGAATACAGGTCCTCTTATGGATTAAAAACTGGTTAGAGTGATAGAAAACAGAGCTCGCCATGGAGAGAAGTAATCTGTTGGGTCCAAAAAGATTGGCAAAGGTTGAGCAATGTTGTGGCCAAATTTGAAGATGATACTAAATTATTCAGGATGTTGACAACCAAAGCAGATTGTGAAGAGTTTCAGGAGAATGTCCCCAAATGAGTGGGTGACCAAGTGGCAAATGAAGTTCAGTACAGGTGATGTGCCTCAGAACATAAAATCCTAACTTTAAATAAATGCTGATGGGATCTGAACTGTGTGGCAGTGGTGAAAAAAGAAGACTCTGTGCTGCAGATTATTTGAAAGGAGATTGAAAACAAAATGACCAATATTGCAGGGCTCTTTTCTAGATATTGTGTACAGTTCTGGTTGCTGAATCTGAAAGGGGGGGCAGTCTCAATGATTAAGGGGTTACGGCACCTTTCTTATGACGGAAAGGTAAAGGTAAAGAATCGGGGGATGGGTTGGTTTAGAAAAAAGATAACTAATATAGAAGTCTGTAAAATGATGGTCAAAATGGTCAAAAATGAGATGGCAAGACTGAACATCGATATCTTAGGAATCAGTGAACTAAAGTGGACAGGAATGGGCGAATTTAACTCAGAAGACCATTATATCTTCTATTGTGGCCAGGAATCTCGTAGAAAAAATGGTGTGGCCTTTATAGTCAACAAGAAAGTGCAAAAAAACTTTAAATATAGCTCAATAGAATCTCTGTACACTGGGATACAATCTCAAAAATGACAGAATGATTTCTGTCCGATTCCAAGGCAAACCATTCAACATCACAGTAATTCAAGTGTATGCCCCAACCACTGATGCAGAAGAGGCTGAAGTGGACCGGTTCTATGAAGACCTACAACACCTCCTAGAACTAACACCAAAAAATGATGTCCTCATCATCATAGGGGACTGGAATGCTAAAGTAGGAAGTGAAAAGGTAACTGGAATAACAGACAAGTTTGGCCTTGGAAAGCAAAATGAAGCAGGGCAAAGGTTAACAGAGTTTTGTCAAGAGAACACACTGGTCATAGCGAACACCCTTTTCCAACAACCTAAGAGGCGACTCTACACATGGACATCACCAGATGGGCAACACCGAAATCAGATTGACTATATAATTTGCAGTCAAAGATGGAGAAGCTCTATCCAGTCAGTAAAAACAAGACCTGGAGCTGACTGTGGTTCAGATCATGAGCTACTCATTGCAAAATTCAGACTTAAACTGAAGAAAATTGGGAAAACCACGAGGCCATTCAGGTTTGACCTAGATCGCATCCCTGATGAATATACAGTAGAGGTGAAGAATAGATTCAAGGGTCTGGATTTGATAGATAGAGTGCCTGAAGAACTATGGACGGAGGTTCGTGACATTGTACAGGAGGCAGCAATCACCACCATCCCAAAGAAAAAGAAATGTAAGAAAGCAAAGTGGCTTTCTGATGAGGCTTTACAAATAGCAGAGGAAAGAAGGAAAGCGAAAGGCAAAGGCGAAAAGGAAAGATTTACCCAACTGAACGCAGATTTCCAGAGAACAGCAAGGAGAGATAAGGAGGCCTTCCTGAATGAACAATGCAAAGTAATAGAGGAAAACAATAGAATGGGAAGGACTAGAGATCTCTTCAAGAAAGTTGGAGAAATCAAGGGAGCGTTCCATGCAAAGCTGGCCATGATAAAGGACAAAAACGGTAGGGACCTAACAGAAGCAGAAGAGATTAGGAAAAGATGGCAAGAATACACAGAAGAACTATACAAGAAAGACCCCGATGTCCTTGACAACCACGATGGTATAATCACTGACCTCGAGCCAGACATCCTGGAATGTGAAGTTAAATGGGCCTTAGAAAGCATTACTAACAACAAAGCTAGTGGAGGTGATGGTATCCCAGCTGAGCTATTCAAAGTCTTAAAAGATGATGCTGTTAAGGTGCTGCACTCAATATGCCAGCAAATTTGGAAAACGCAACAGTGGCCACAAGATTGGAAAAAGTCAGTATACATTCCAATCCCAAAGGGGGGCAATGCCAAGGAATGTTCAAACTATCGCACAATTACAGGTTGTTGTGTTGTGCAGTTAAAAAGAAGAAGTTTTAAAAAGAAGTTAAAAAGAAGAAGAGATTGGATTCAGCTGACATTTAACTTTCCACTCTGGCCAGGCGGGGGTTAGTATGGGCTAGCCCAGAGTAACCCCCCGTCTGGACTAACCCCTGGGGTTACTCTGACCTGCCCCCCCGGGGTTACTCTGGCCGGGGGGAGGTGAATCTTGCCTGTTACAGCCGGCCAGATTAACCCGGGGTTACTCTAGCCTAGGCCAGAATAACCTCTCAATAACCCCTCCGGGGTTATTCTAGGCTAGGCCAGAGTAACCCCGGGGTTACTCTGGCCGGGGGGTTAATCCGGCCTGTTACACCGGATCAAGTTCAAGGTTTTGATTTTGACCTTTAAGGCCCTTAGCAGCCAGTAACCCACATATCTTTGGGATAGCCTCTTTCAGTATGCTCCCAGTCAAGCATTACACTTGGGAAATAAAAACCTTTTTGTGGTCCCTGGCCCAAGAGAGATTCAGCTGTCCTCAACAAGGGCCAGGGCCTGGCCTGGTGGAACACTCTGCTGGAGAACATCTGTGCCCTGCGGGATCTGTTACCTTTCCACAGAGCTTGTAAGGCATTCGGTTGAGAACAGTGATGGTATAGTATGAGGTCTGAGACTCTCATACCCCTCATCCCTCCATATCCCTATATCTCGAAAATTTTATCCATAAACTGTTTTCTGCCATCCCGCCATAATATTTCATGCATTAATTGTTATTTATTGTAGGTTTTTGTTTGTAGTGTGTTTGTAGTGTGTTGTTGTATTGAATTTTATTGTAAGTCGTTCTGAGCCCTGTTTGCAGGGAAGAGCAGCCTTATCATCATCATCATCATCAATCATTATTATTATTATGTTCATATGTTCATTGGTCCTGTTGACCAAACATGATCTGGTGATTCCATGCTTGGAACTTAATTTCTAGGTGCATGGTGGCCTAAATCAGACTTGAACCACGGTGTGTTAGCAGTCATACCCTTCCTGCAGATGGGTAGTTGGCAGCCAGAGAGAAAAGAAGACCAAACACCCCTCATATAATATCACTCCAAATATCATATCATGCAACACACTGCCTGGCCCAGAAATTACCCAAAATGGATACCAGTCAGAAGACCAGCCTGGGAAACTATTTAGAAGGGAATCAAGAGATGGACCTGTAAACAACCCTCTCCTACCCCAAAAATAAGGCATATTTTATAACAGTGGGTTTCTCAGTAAAACAACAACTCTTTTTGAATTAACCTCTTTCATCCCCAATCCTGCTTCCCCCTTTGGCACATTTACCCTTGTTAGCATATCCATAACCCCTGATGTGTCAGCCATCCTGTACTTCAGGGGTCATCAATATACATCAACAGCCATATCCTATCCCCGGGAGAGCCATTAAGCTCTGCTTAATTCTTTAATCTCCCTCTGGGAGAGCCATTTGGCTTGGTTCAAGTTTTAGGGAAAATCCGGGTAAACACATCAAGCTGTTGTTTTGGGGGCAACCTGTCACAGTGCCTCAGGGAACATTTTTCCTATAAATCCAAGCACTCATCTCCTCTGTTTGTGTATGTGTGTTCTGGACATCAGCCTCACACATCCACTTGCGTGTGGGACATTAGCTGGTCGCTGGTTGTACAGACCTGAATCTTCAAGACTGGTAAGTATTGCCTATCCAAACACTATCTCCCCCGCTACTCCTTTTCCCCCCTCTTAGCTAGCTTGTGTGATTTACAGTGTGCTTTGTGTGTATGCTTTGGCCCTTTTGCTCTTTTATTATTTTTCAATAAAAATACTTCCAGCTGAACATCTGATTGGTTTATTTGAGAGTTCTCTAAGGGATTAATCTTGATATACATTGGTGGAGATTCCTAGTTACCCTCTCTCGCTGTGTCTCTAATAAAGCTAATTTCCCCAATTTAATAAGAGACACCAATTTGGATAACAGGTGGGGAAAGGAGGATTACACCAGCCCATAGGTACAGTCCTGATTCAATTCAGGACCCCTTTAATCTATTGATTTTTGAAGATAGCAAATTTGCTGCATTAGGATTTATTATTTTAGAATTTTCTGCTTGATTATAAATCAGAATGATATATTAATAACAGTAAATTAATGATTCTTGATATCATATGATTATACTGTAATATAATGTAATACAAAAATTATTATTTATTATATTTTTGAATCTCCCCAACCCTGCTACTGCAGGGATCCAGGCAATATACAACCAGAGATAAAACAAGATAAAATTAGTTAAAACATTAGTACAATAAAAGCAATCAGATGCAGCAGGAAAACCCACAATCAGTCAGGGAATATGATCTTAAAATAATGAGGCACTTAAAAATAGTACTACAAGGAAAAGGGGAAGGTAGTGAGGGGATAGAGTTTTATATTTTAAGCAAATGTAAAACCTGCAGTTTCATCTGCCTTCAAATCATATCAGGTAAACAGATTATTATAAGGCATACCCTTTTTCCTGAGAAAGACTTCTTTACCACTGGTAACAAGTCATTATTGATGAATGTTCCTTCTACTTCGAGATCGCTGATACCCTGAGGCTCAAATATGTGTGCATCAATCTGGAATGGGCAAAAAAAATAATCTGAAACCAAAGTATAAGGCATGGTCCACGCATCTGCTTGGACAAAAAATAATACATATGTAAACCGAAAGTTGCTTGGCTAATGAATTTACAAATTTGCATCAGATTTATTTCCCAGAAGCAGATTCATGTTCCAGTAAAACAAACATCCCTGAAAATTCAAAAGATTTATGCAAACTGATGCAGTTTGAAGATTTACTGCTCAAAAAAAGATTTGAACAACTCAATGTACACAAAAAGCTGCATTCAGACATCATAATTATTTGATTGACCTGCACTTACTTGTGATGTCTGTATTTGGACCTACCAGCAAACTGGGGGGTGGGGGTGGGGGGGGCAGTAAAGCATGATTCTTAATTACAGTTTGTAGCTGGTTTGTACTAATTAAGAAATTAAGAAATTCTTTCTTTCCCCCCAGTAGGAATACCACTTTTAGCTGTGCAGAGAGAGATAGTGCTATAGAGCAACTGAAAAACCTTGCCATTCTAACAGCATGTGTCTATCAATCTAGTAAATTCTTTATCTTGCCTCTCCTTCAAGAAACTCAGAGCAGCATAAATGGTTCTCCTGCCCTCATTATTGTTCTCAGTTCTTCAGGGTACACCTTTGCCCTCCTCCGACACCTCTCTTCATGCCCACCACCCTGGTAGCAATGAAGAAGAAGAAGAAGAAGAGATTGGATTTATACCCCGCCCTTCACTACCCAAAGGTGTCTTAGAGCGGCTTACAAACTCCTTTTCCTTCCCCTCACCACAACAGACACCCTGTGAGGTAGGTGGGGCTGAGAGAGCTCTGACAGAAACTGCTCTTTTTCAAGAACAGCTCTTATCAGAACTACGGCTTGCCCCGGTCATCCAGCCAGGTGCAAGTGGAGGAGTGGGGAATCAAACCCGGTTCTCCCAGATTAGAGTCTGCGAACTTAACCACTACACCAAATGACTTGGAAACTGTGCAGTACTGTTCTCCCAAAGGCACATTTAAAAGGCAGCAGATCATATTATTTTCATAGGATATTTGGTGCAGAATATCTGGGAGGGACACAGCCCTGAGTTCACATGGCACACAGCCAGGTTCCAAATGCACATTGCAGGTAACATAAAGAGAAGAACGTCCCATCATGAAATCTCAGGTGTATATCTCAGCCACAATTATGTACTTGTTCCCAAAATTTATTTTACTTCGGAGGGAAAAATAGTTTAGGGAATGTAGTAATATGTTGGAGAGAATGGGGGTGGAGGGCTGTAAGAGATATGTTTTATTTCAGAGAATAGCAGTTTAGAGAATGCAGTGAAACAGCTAGGTTAAAGGATGAAAAGCATAGCTCCAAAATTCCCAGGCACTAGGTTGTAATGGCACCTAGAAATTTAATTGTAGTGCCTAGTATTTTAGTAACACTTTTACTGTAGCATCTCTCATCAATTCTCCTTTTCCCATTTCTTCTTATATTCTTCCACTTTATTCAGCATATTAAGTAATATATTGTATTTTCCTTTCCCAACTTTGTCAATTAGAGTTTAAACCATTATTTTTTCAGCTCATGAAAAATATACACAGAAAGGTTTCACTGCATTTGCTGTCTGTAGAAAACCTTAACAGTTTAACAGAATAACAGTCTAATTGTAAGTGAAGTTACATCCTTCTAGGCCCATTGCCATATTAGACCTTACCTCAAATTTATTCACCAGTTGCTTTGGGTTTACTTTTATGAACATCTCATATTTCCCAAAGTTTCTCTTCAGCAGTTCCTCATAGGTCAGCTCAAAAGTGATTTTGCTGGCTGCAGCAATGTTGACTGAAACACTGAATTTTTCTGTTTTTCTTCCAGAGGCCCTTTGTACATTGAACAAAAGAAGTAATTATAAATCTGTTAACATCTACATTGCTACTGTGGTGCTCTATAAATGTAATCCTCTGAAGAGCTTTCAAGAAATCGCATGTATAAACAAAAGACCATTGAAAGAATTTCAGCAGAGATGGCAAGCTTATTATTCTTTTTATGAATATTATTCCCCCTTTCCTGAGTTTTGGAATTATTAAAAGTGATGAAGATATTGATTATAGGTTCAAATCTTTATTTTTTATTTCATTAGTATTTAATAATTAGCAAGAATAAAATTTAGATTTAGACAAACTAAGATAATATTCAGGTTTTTACGATGATTTAATTTTAGTGTAGAAGTTTGTTCAACTGTTAAACGTAATCATTTTATTGTTAATAGTTTATTGTTAACTTTTGGAAAGTTCTTGTTTATTCTTTTATACATCTGACTTTACTTGTATGTAGGGCTGCCAAGTGGGGGTGAGGAGCAGGGAAACCCCCGCTTTGGAGGCCCGATTTCCGCCGCCGTGGAATCGGGCCCTGGGGGGAACTCCGCCCCCCAAAGCGCAGCGTCACAGGAAGTGACGTGCACGTTGACCACGTTGGGGGCGTGGCCCAGATCGTGGAGGGAAAACTCTATGGTTTTTCTTCCCTTGATCATGGCCACACCCTCAACGTGGTTGACGTTGCATGTCACTTTTTGTTGCTGCTATCCTGATTCGTTTCTAATATTTTTCACACTAGTGGTACTTTAGATACTACTGGAGCAAAAATCAAAATATGTGTTAATTCAGCAATGAAATTTTCTGCAAGGAAACAGAAAGTGGGATGAAAATAAAGGCTCTGCAATTCAACTCATAAAAGAGAAGAGGGAGAAGAAATGGGGATTTTTGAGTTGAAGCAGTGGGACTATGAAATTGGGTAGTATCCATAAAATCTAAACACGATAACATAAAATGAGCTGGAACACGACACCCATATAAGACGAAGCCCTGTCCTCTGCCCTATGCCACTATTTATTTATTTATTTGATTTATATACTGCCCTCCCCACGGGCAGGCTCAGGGTGGTTTAAATCAAACTTAATATAATACCATTAAAACAACCATTAAAATAACAATTTAAAATGACAGAACCATAAAATACTGTGTAAACAAGTTAGTTCCGATGTCAATCAGATTATTTAAAAATTCAGGAGTGGGTAGCCCAATGTCTATTTGGATCCAGGCCACTGGAGAGGAGATAGCCAGGAGGGAAGAGGGACATCCACTGCCTCAGCCAAAGGCCTGGTGGAAGAGCTTCATCTTGCAGGCTCTGTGGAACTGTAATAGATTCCACAGGGCCCTGATCACATATGGAAGCTCATTCCACCAGGTGGGGTCCAGGGCCGAGAAAGCCCTGGTCCTGGTTGAGGCTAGTTGGATGTCCCTGGTGCCAGGGACTGCTAGAAGTTGTTGATTTGTGGACCTCAGTGTGCTCCAGGACTCATATAGGGAGAGATGGTCTCAAAGGTATGCTGCCCCCTGGCCATATTAACCATTACTTATGTGTAGGTTATATTCCTCCAAGTTTGCCACCAGTGTATCAATCCAAATAAGCAACAGCAGACAAGGTTGCCTATTTCGGTCATTGGTTCATGTGGGAGTGAGGCCATTTTTGCAGTATGTGTGTTGTGATGATGCCCAATAACAGTGGAACTGAAGCGAGAGTACAGTTCTGCTTTGTGTAGTAGACAGGATGGGTTTTGTTTGAGATGTTGCAGTTTCTTGGTAAGAGTTAATAGACTCCACTGTGAGAGAGTGGTCCCAAATTTACAACCATTTTCTGGCTGTAAACTAGGAGAAAGGCAGGTATATAAGTATTTTAAATAAAATAAATAGTGTGATGAAATAAGGAAATTGTGCTTTGTTTCCTTTCCTTTTTTATACATGAATTTGGAGCTATCAAATGTAGTAGGAGGAGGAAGTGATGTTGTTATTAGAAGTATT